TACATCGTGTAGCATAGCTCTCAACGAATGTAGTCCTGTAAATAAATGAATAAAGAAATTGTGTAATAAAATGCCTCTGGCGGGACTCGAACCTACGACCTCTCGCTGTCAAGGAGAGTGTCATAACCACTAGACCACGGAGGCTTCATGGTTGAACAGATTCAAATACCACCAGATACACTCTATTACACAATAGGTACGGCTAGAAACAAATAGGTGCATATAACATAAATCAAGGTAGCCGTTAACACTGTTAAATATGTATATATATGTATATATATATGTGTGTGTGTGTATATATATATATATATGTATATGTATATATATATATACATACTGTATATATGTACAGTACTTCCATTTATATATTTTCATACCTCAGTACTGTACTTTACCTTTGCATGCATATCTTTGATGAACTTTAGTTTTGTGTTTTGTTTTGCTATTAATGGAGGGATATCCCATTCCTACTTTGTTTGCATTAGAACAGCATACCACTGTTGAAAAAGGTAGTCCATGTGCATTGTTAACCATGGACACAGTGGCACAGTCTTCTGATAAAGACACTTAGCTGTTTGTTGTTCCTTGTTCATATGCATGTAAGAGAACATACAGCGGAACAGAATTTTTCACTTTATTTTCCAATTCACCATAAGGATGAAATTCATTTACTTAACTAGGACTAGTGACTTTCTGTTATTTTATTTCAAATTTATATGTACAATTTATAATTAATTTTGCTCTGTTTATAATTTGACTTTTCTCTTAAAACTGCCTTCTCTTTTCCTTTTTAAAAACAGGCCCGTAGCGTGGGGGTGTAAAGGGGGTTACGGTGAACCGCCCAAAAACTAGAGAAGGTCCACATTTAAAAACGAAAAATTGATATTCGTAGATATATTTACAATGTTCTCTAGAGTATTGGAAATAAGGGTCCACTTTTCACTGAAAGGAACCTCCCACAAATTAAGTCACGTTACAGGCCTGAAAAATGTCTTCAGCTTGAAGTTATTTGACCGTAAGCCCTGTCTCAAGACTATCAAATTTCATTTGACAAAAACATGTGTTATGCCTAAATATGGTCATGATGACATCACATCATGACACCATATAGGCACATCATGACTATATATGGGCATACAACAGTTTTTTTTTTGTCAAATAAAATTGTACAAGTGTAGAAACGTTTTGCCAAAAAAAAAAAATACATGAAACACTGTAAATATCTTTTTATAAATATAATTCAACTACTTTTAGTGTAGTATACATTTTCCTTATATACAACTTATAAGAAAACATACCGTATAAAATAATAATTACAGTATAATAATCATATAAATAACAAAATTCTAATCAGTAGTTATATTAAGTTTTCATCATTATTAATTATTGCCAGTGTGGAGGTGTTTCTCCATAGCAAAGTTTATCATGGCAATATCTCAACTGACTCTATCCCTTTTGACCTTTGACCGAATGTACAACATTTATCAGTTATGTAATACATAGGTTTTTCTTTGTATCATCTTTAATTCTCACAAGTGTGGAGGTCTTTCTCCATAACAAGTTTATCATGGCAATATCTCAACTGACTCTTCCCTACCAGTTTGGTCCTTTTTGACTTTTGATGGAATGTACAACATTTTTATTTCTGCTGTCGACTCAACACTATTCAGTTTAAGATTACTGTATGACTATTAACCCTTGTTTTTGTTTTTTAGTTTGTGTACTTAGGGTTAATACTTAAGACTACACATAATTGTAAAAATTCTTAATTACAGAATTTACAAAAATATGAAATGGAAAAAAAAGTTAAAATAAAATTGTTATACTCAGCTAGTCTCTGCAATTAACACCCTTGGTTCTTTATTATTGTAGATATTCAGTATGCATAGATAAATAGACCAATCAATTTACAGTTTTATAAGTATTTCTCATTTGCTCTCTGTCACCTTTATTCTTTTTTGATAAGACAGCCTATATTATATTGATTCATGATGTTTTCCTCATTCTCGCTGATGAAGGCCACAGGAGTGGCAGAAATATCCGAGTTTATAATAAATCAGTGTTCTTAAAGTCTACTACTGAAGTTGTTTCATTATTTTCTATTATTCTGTCGGAACACACGT